ACCCTGCCAGTAACACATTCCATAATGAAGACCTACAATTCAGGGCAGCGTGGGAAGGGCTTTGCTGAAAAAGGAACTTACTATCTTTGCTTAAGTCCCAAACCTATTTGACCATGAAGCCCTCTGCCCCTCCTTTTTTTGACCAAAATCAATCACTATAATTCCACAAAACTGAGGACATATTGTCTTGAAAACTCCCTAATGCTCAATGCCAGGAAGGGGAACAAGTTCCTCATTCCAAAGCTCATCACCTCATGAGAAAACAAGTACATTTCTCTTTCAGTCAATGCCCTTTCTCTCGCTCAATGGTTGGGGGACTCCCTCAGCCCCTCCATCAGCTGTAATCAAGGCTCCACAGTGAGGAGGTCCTCTTCCGCATCCCGTGCTCCCCACCTCCCAAGGGTGTCTAGTCTCTACACCAGCTTAAGGTATGCAAACTTCTAGGCGATATTTTTCAAATTACTTAAACTGTGGTAAAATACATACAACGTACAATTTACTCTCTTAACCATTTCTGAGTGCAGTTCAGGAGTATTAAGCACATTCACGCTGTCATGCAACCAAGCTCTGGACCCCCTTCAATAGGAGAAGTTTTTTTTAACAGAGGAGATGTGCCCAATACTTGGAATCAAATCTGTACATCTTTACGAATGCAATAATTTTTGTGCTCCATTTTTGTAACTGCTGTATTTAATTATTCTATTAACAGTTCTATAAACTGTATTTAACAGTTTACATCTTTGATTATACATTAAAATTTTTTTCCATGACTCCACCATGTCAAAAAACAATCAGGGGATTTTTGCAACAGAAGAAACTGGAGCAAAGCATCTCAACGGCTTTTGAAAAGATTCCACACCACACTCAGCCCCTGTGCTCTGGGCCTGTGCCAGGAATGTACTGATGGTTATATTATTAGCAACGTCTAGCTCAATACAGCGACTTATTTATTCACAATGTGAATCATTTATGCTGCAGCCACTGATTATTCTTCTATTAGCTGCCTTCCGCCCTAAGCAAGGCACTTAGAAGGCCCTGGGAACACAGTGGGCAAGGTCACTTATAGGACATGTGAAGGGACATAGAGTGTTGATTCCTCCCCAGGCATGTCTTCCCCACATTGATGGTAAGATTTAGGGGTAATAAGCCACCATATCCCAGTCCCACAAAGGCATCAACTTCAAGACAATGCCCTACTGAGATGACGGAGAAGCAGCTTCTAAACAGGATGGGTTCAATGTGAAGTCATCCCACAACTGCTCATAAAAAGGCAGTACAAGTCCTCAGATAGGGATGCAAGGAATATAGTGATGCTTACCCTCTGGAGAAGAGCCCGCCCACACAGTAGGGCCACAAGGCGCCATGACAGCAGTGCTTAGTCCCAGCAAATACAGGGGAAAAACATACCAGTTGTCATCTTTGGCATCTTCACTAAAAGCACCCCACTTTCCTGTCTCCCCACCTGGCAGTCTGTGGAGCTTGGCATCTGAGAGCAAGAACAGTCAAGAGGAGGACATCCTGAGAGCTCCAGGACCCAGTGCATGCCCTGGACCATCGAGTTGGCTTCCTTCTTTCTCGGGCAGCTCTGTGCTGTGCACCTCCATCCAGCAGCTGCTTCCCCCTGAACACTGTCATCAAAGAGCGGCGGCAGGTGAAACCCTGCCTAGGAGGCGCCGAGAGTCGAGGAAGGGGAACATCGGGAATATCCGGATGGGCGAGTACACACACATTCTTCCTGGTGGCACTTCGAAAAGGCAGCCTTGAAGCTGACTGTCTCTCACACACGCATGCGTATCAACAGAAAAAAATAATGCACTCCAGTTCCTCTCGGGTCAACAAACTATGCAAAATGGGTTCTGATTTTTTAAAGTTTCCATAAATTAACACTACTTAATCAAGAATTACTAATTAACGTCAGACAGACTTAAAAAAGAAAGAAGGTTCCTCCTGTTTACACCCCCAGACATAGGTCTTCAGTGGCATGTCTCTCTAAGATTCTCTTGCTTTCCCAGCTCATTTTGATTACGTGGTACCAATGGCATATGCTGGCTTGCTTCCCTAGTGGGGTGGGTAACAGATTAGTACATTTTTATTTCATACTGATGTACTAGACATATTTCTGTACATTTTCCCAGACAGTTTGGTGGTTCACTTATATACCCCAAACAATTTCAGAACAATTTAATTTTTAAAAATATCTATTTAGTGAACTTATTGTGGAGAGATTAGTTAATAAAATTTCAGAATACTTTAGAGGTGTCTAGCATGGTTTTTCTTTGAGGAGAGGGGTTCTTTGATAACATACAACTTACATGTTTTTTTTTAAGATTTTTACTTTTATATTTATTTATTTTTATTTACAGATAGAGGGGAAGGGAGGGAGAAAGAGAGGGAGAGAAACATCAGTGTGTGGTTGCCTCTCACACACCCCCTACTGGGGACCTGGCCCGCAGCCCAGGCATGTGCTCTGCCTAGGAATTGAACCAGTGACTGTTTGGTTTGCAGGCTGGCACTCAATTCACTGAACCACACTACCCACAGCAGCAACAGTACATTTAAAATAAAGAGTTGTTTTAGAAATACAGGGTTACTTTTTCCTCCAGGGGCATTGGAAAGAGAAAGCTCGCGGTACCTTGAACTGCCTGAGATGAGGATGCGGTAAGGGAAGCCCAGGGCGACCACTAAGATTGAGAAGGCCATTAGATTACCTTTGTTGTTGTTTTAGTTAGTTCTAGAAGACTAGAGAGGTTCCTTCCAGCCCAGCTTCTGTTTTTGTGAAAGGGTAAAATGAGCCTCAAGATGGGGACCGACCAGCACAGGGTTACCCCTCCCAGGCACTAGGGACAAGGCCGTTTCAGTGCCCAGTCTGCACTGTTAGTAAGGGGAGTGGGGAAGGGCGGGGCACATGACTCCCAGAGGAGGAAATTAGCTCACTCATTCTTCCACCAAACACTTGAGCTTCTTTTATATGTCTGGCTTTTTCTAGAGTATACAGCAACAAACAAAACATTCAGAGATCCCGGCTCACAAGGAGTGTATACTTGAGCGGGCACCTATTTTCAAAAAGCGGTCCCTCAGGCATGCAACACACTAACTTGAAATCAACAAGTGATTTTCAGAAGATATTCCATGTGCACTTTATATGCTCACAGCAGTTGAAGACCAACAAAAATATTTCCTCCCACACTAGATCATGGCTTCAGAAACAAACAAAACGAGATCAGTCATGGTAATTGAAAATGTTGTGTACACAGGAATACAGATCAGCAATCACCAAAGAACTAAACAGAATTCTGGACTCCGGCAGCGGCGGGCAGGCTGGGTGAGGCCCTCTCCCAGTGGAACCCACGCCCCTCGGGCAAAAACGGGACCAGAGAATCCTGAGTCCTGTCCCGCCATCCCTTTCCGTACTTTCCGTAGCCTATTACACAGCAAACAGAGTATCAATGGGTCTCTCAAGGGAGAAATTTTTTATTTTATTCTGGGAAAACATAACGATGTACCATAGCTATCTAACCTAACAATGTGTCGTTTCTTTCTTGGAAGATAGAGCTATGCATCTTACTGATGAGCAGACAAGTCTATAAACTCATTTACAGGGAAGACAATCATTTATTTAAAAAATTATTACTATTTTCCAAAAAAAAAGTGCTCAAGTGACTGAATCTGTCATGTACATACAGTGAGTCTGTGGCCCAGTGATGATGACGTCCTTGGGCTCTGTGCACTTTGGCTCCTTCTTCCATAAAAAAAAAATAGTTAAAAATTGTATTTTATGACTGCACTGGTATAAAGAAAAATATAATCAGGCTAGGTCCATTATGATATATTCACTATTATTATATTCATTTTATCCTGCTTCTGAAAGAAATTACAATTAAAACATTTTCGTGGCCACTAAAAGCATCCCAGGCGCTGGGCGCTGCGCCTAATGCTAAGTCAACTCTGAACCACAGACTCTGGTGTTTACGCAGCACTGCAGCCGTGAGTTAGGCAAAAGGCCTCCTGGGACTTTCTTGCCCATAATGACGATCTGCAGTAAGCAAAACATTGTTTTGCCAGTTAACCAAACACCGGTGAACTCTGAACTCTGACACAAGCAAAGTCATCTTTACACCATTAAAATGCCATTTGTCTTTGTAATAACTCTGAGTACTTCAAGAAGAAAAATGCAGGGTATCAAATATTTATGATTCCAGTAAAGCATTATTATTTTGCTCATTGAAGGCAACAAAGCTCTAAGCCATTGTAACACTTAGGCTTTTCATTTTGTTTTTATCTTACTGTTTGTTTAAACAAAAAGCCCTGTATGCGAAACTGACAATACGATCTCGTGAGTAACAAGTGATAACCCTAAACCTACCCTACTGAGTTCCTTCATGTCTTCCTGTCGTCTTAGTAGGCATTCAGTATGTAACTGAGCGATGTTAATTCAACATTCCAGGTCTTGACAAATAGCTTATCATGTGGTCAGAGTACGAAAAATTAAAGTATTTGGAAAAGAAACTAAAATAAGTGCCTAGAATTTTAAAAAGGGGTGGGGGTATATTCTCTTCCTTCCTTTGCCTTTTTATCATTCTTTGTGGCTTTTCAAATACTACTGCCACAAAATTGGATTGAGATTTTAAATCTTGAGGAAAATGAAGAAGTTAAAAGAGGACAAGAAGAACTTTTCTGGCCAACGAGAAGCATTTAAAATACTACCTAAAAACGGACTAACTAGAAGGCCCACAGGAAGAAATCACCCCGAACTGGGTCACTCTATCGTTTCTGCTTCCTGGTTCCATTTTTGTTCTTCATGTGTGTCTTTTGAAGTAGGCATTTTCTTTCATAATTCATCCTGTAGTTAGAATATTTGTTATTCTTTCACAAAGTAGTTAAAAGAAAAACTGTGCCTACAGTGTACTTATATTTACACAAATACCTAACAAACCTAAACTCTGAATATATTAACTTTTTAATGTGGTTCATACTCAATGGCAAAAATAAAAATGGCTTACTTTTGTAGCTGAAGGAAGCCTTTGCAGTCTGGTCACCCAGATACTCCTAATATCCGTCTTCACCTGTAGTGCAAACACAAAAAATCAATTGCTAAAAGTAAAAACTTAAGCGTTAATTTTCCTTATGGATGAGAAGTTGGGCTTCACTTTAAGTAGCAAATGGAAGATTGGAATCAAAAAGGCCAAAATTTTCCAAGGAAAATATCACGTCTATGGTATTAGTCTATCACAGACATAATGCAATAATCAAAACAATTAGTAATTTAAAAACAAAAAAATAACAGGATATGGTATTAGAAAGTTACTCTGACTTTCTCCTTCCCTTGACATACTCAGAAAGTTCAAAAGAGACTTGAACTTTCAATAACACTTAATAACTAAGTTCACTGACTTGCCAGAAGAATTTACCCTACCTGGGGGAACAAAACCCTGAGGAGTGGAAAGAAAATGGACTTTTTCACTCAGTTGCAACCATAGTATCTCTGCTTCCCAAACACAAGTCCTCCACACCAAGGGAACAATCTTCTACGGCCATGGCTACTCAATGCCTGAGTGCTTCTCTGTGGCTGTATCCCACAGTTCCTTGCATCTTACATCTTTGCAAAGTAGCAGGGTAAGGGGATAGATGTTCATGATGGGGATGCTCGTATCTGGTAAAATTTGGGATTGCTGTTTTTCTGGTCACTATTTTTAAAAGGAAGGAACCACAGCTATTTTAATGTTTTTTTAGGCTTTTAAAGGAAAAAAAAAGACCAAATGTGCCTTATCAGCTGGGTAGCTTCATGAAAAATGTTACTCAAAAATATTCCAGGTGCTGAGGAATAAGTCAAAATAAAAAGTTAAGAGTGATGGCGCCGGCTGGTGTAGCTCAGTGGATTGAGCACAGGCCTGTGAACCAAAAGGTCTCCGGTTCAATTCCCAGTCAGGGCACATGTCTGTCTCTCTTTCTCCTTTCCTTCTCCTGTGTCTAAAAATAAATAAATAAAATCTTTAAAAAAAAGTTAAGAGTGAAAAAGTGGTCACATAGCGATAGCACTGGTGGAGAGCATTGAAAGCAAGGAAAGGAGGAATAAGCTAGGCTAGTTTCTCTACCTGTAGTCCCAACAGAGTGTGAACTTTCAAAGTTTTTGAAATAAATCTAATTAAAAACCTTACTATCATAACTAGTCCCATCTAAGTCTGAAATCCTGGATCGTGTTATTAAAACCAGAGGCATCAGTGGGGGTAGACAATAGAAGGGAGCTGGCTGCCTTTGTATATGGGGAATAAAGAATGGAGTTTCATTCGTAACACTACTTTTTTATCGTCATTTGAGAGAATAAAGAAATGAACTAAGTATCTAAACTCAGTAAAGTTGAAAAACAATATCTATAATCTAGAAAATACATAAATAAAAATAAAAGCAGTAATTTTGTATTCAGGTATTTAAAAAGCAGTTGCTGGTTAATTATACAATGAAATACCCTATAGACAGATTTCAGGCAAATCTAGTCATAAAATCTAACACAAAGCCAGAATTGTTAGAGGAATATATTACAGATATGAAAGAGATTAAAAATTAAGAGTGCTACATAAAAATATCCTTATGAGTAAATTTGGGCAGCTCATTGGAAAGAGTCTTCTGAGATGGTATTTAATTATTAAAACTGAACCAAAAATATAAAAACTTAAAAACTGATGAATGTAGTTTACTTCAAGAATTAGATTATCCCCAACTATATAAAGAGCTTTCAGGATCTGAATGACTGAGGCTTCCAGTTTGTTTGATGAAGTTATCCCAAGCCTGATAACCAAATGTGTGAGCTGTGATAAGACACAATGAGAAAAAAAAAAAATCTAAGAGGCCTGTTTGACTTAAGTTAAGATAGAAGAGTACTAAATAAAGTGCTCAGGAAACTTAATTTTAGTATAGTAAAACAGTCATACAACAATATATATTGGGATCATTCTAGAAACATTCTATAAGTAGACCTATTATGCTCTAGCAATAGGTCACAAGAGAGCAACTCATACTCATATTTTCCAGGACGCCAAAATGACACGGGATAAACTCAGTACCGATATCTGACAACCTCTCAGCAACCTAGAAATAGATCATTTACCGTGATTTTTTTTAAAAAAGGTTTACAACCAACAGACATTTTTATTAAAAAGTCAGGACAAAATAAAAGATGCTCACTTACAATGCAATAGTGAGCGGAAACGAACAAACTAAACTACCCCCATCTGCAGGTGACAAGTTTGAATACCTAGAAAACTCAAGAGAAACCTCTAAAATATACCCAACTGGAAACAGTCAAGATTCTGTGAGATGGTTTGAGAAAACAACATGGAAAAGCAATGCTTTTCGTCCAGTGGCAGCAACGTCCAGTCACAAACAAATGAAAATGGAGACGGTCTAAAAGTAGATCATAGTTAACAAAATTATGCTTATAGAGAAGAATTTATATAGAAAACAGTTAAGGAAATCTTTAGGATACTGCTTTCCTCGTGAGACATGATGACAAGTACCAATGTACTTCCCCAAAATGGGGGAGGGGAGCATCATATAGCCAGGAAATTCAATACGAGGTAAACCAATGAACTTCTATTTGGGGGCTGTCCAAAGTGAACTACCGTTATAGGAATAAGAGCACAGCAAGAGAGCTTTTACAATCAGTGATGCTTATTTATAGGTGGATAGTTGAGGCCCCAGAGGCTGCTCTATAAATTCAGGATAGGATTTTAAAAAATTGATCATCCTGCCTGAAGTGCAAAATCCACTAACACGTTATACTTAGGACATTAAATAAAAATAGAACTTTATGTTAAGAAATCCACTTTGAAGGTGGGGCTGTGTTATAAATAGCCATTGATGTTCTATTCGTGAGAAGAAAATGCTGGCCGCACCTCACTGACTCGTGGCGAAACCGGTCACGTTTTATTGCTTTTGGCCATAGAACAATGCGAAACTTAGTCTGGAGTGTAGGCAAGGTAATGTTTAAAATAAGCTATATAGGCAAAACACAAGTAGTGTGCTTTTGAGAATAAAAATAAATGAAATGTCAGGGTTGGTTTTTGTAAAAAGGAGACACAAATCCCATATGCCACCATGTCCTTTTAGCTACACCATCTAAAATAAGCTTATTCTTAATTTTAGATGACGGGGTGCAGAGAGAAACTAACAGCTTTGTGTCCCTAACAATAACTATGGGGTCAATTCCAGTTATTCCAAAATGAATGTTAACAAAAAGTACACACAGAAGAGACCAAAATAAAAGGTTTGTTAGCTTTGGAGGACCACCATACCTAGGAACGGGATAAACACAGCTTTTAATGGCCTGAATTAGGTGATGTTTAGACGAAGAATGATTTAAAAGTCACGTCTGATTTTTAAAAACCTACTTTTTATGATAAGAACTATGAAAAAAAAGTATAACTACCTTACCTAAAATGTCAATTATCTGAAATACAGGAGCCCTGAAGATTTGTTTATAAGCACACAGACTTTGTTATCTTTATTTCTGGGGTAAAACACATGAAATTCATAGAAGAAACCAAGCGAGGGTAGAAATCCACACAAGGAGTTACAAGAAATCACAGGACTTCAGACCAGCAGAAAGTACAATATAGTTAATAGTAATACTGCCAAGGCACAGCAAATCTGTGAATGTTCCCTCCATAAGGATCTAAAAGACACAGTCAAGTAGACAAAAACAAAGTACTTTTGAAGGGACATGCAATTTGATCATGTTAATCCAAAAGGAATCTGTATTTGGACTGGAGTCCCGCTTCTGCCCCACACCTGCCACCCTGGGTGCTGCCACCCTGGGTGCTGCCACCCTGGGTGCCACCTCATTCTGATTTGGGACTGCTAGGTAACTTACGGCTCTGGGCCCACTGTGCCGTAGAAACCACATTCTGGCTTCCACCTACCCTTCCTTCTTTAAGCTGCCTCATTTCCTTCCCAGACTGCAAGCAATTAGCAATAGCTAGTGTAATACAAACCTTCTTAAACTGACTGCTGAACGCAGGCAGAGTAATAGCATCTGTTATTTTAGAAGGCCCGTGTCCATCTAGCTTCCTTCTGGCAACTGTACTAGCGTTTTCCTCTACCTCTCCCCACACCCAGCCCATTTACTTTGAATGGCATTAATTAGGCTAAGCCATTCATTGTGCTTCATCCCTCTAATTACTTTGATTGGTTCATGGATAGGCACATGGTTCAAGCCAGACCAATCAGGGACAATGAGACCTAATTTGGGGTATTTTATTAAAACTACTGGAGAAACACACCTTTTCTTGTTCCTACCAGGCACGAATAAGAGAGGATTTAGAGGCCAGAGTTGCCGCAGCCCTCCTGCGAACACATGGGCCTGAAATGAGCCAACATGGAGAAATCTCACACTAATATATTGTGTGCTGTTGAGACAAAAACCAGACACACAAGCCCCAATATGACTTGCTTTTGTCCACTCAGTATTATGCGTGTGAGATTCCTCCATATTGCTTTGCTAACTAGGTAGTGCAATTGTTTGCACTAATGGACAGTATTTCATTGCATACTTTGTGATATGAGTATTTATATGCTCCACTGTTGAACTTGTAACTATTTCCATTTCCCCCCATTACAAGCAATGTTGCATGTTGTCCTGATATCAGGTTTCTGCCTTGTATTTACCTGAATGGGAACTGCTGATTTGCTCATCATATACATGCTAAACTTTATTGGGCTATGCTAACTTTTTTCAAGAGTAATTGCACCAATTTAAAACTCCACCCACAGAATATGAGAGTTCATTCTGCTCCATATTTTGGCCAACCTGATGCTATAAAATTTTTGCCCAAATCCCATTGTCTAAATTCCTATAGCTTTATAACAATGTATGAGGTCTATCCAGAAGGTGTTCAGCCATGTATTATGAAAAATAGTGACATTTGTTGAAGGAGATACAAGATACAAGAAACATTGTACCTAGGACAATGACGCTTTAGTCCTCTTCAAAGTAGGCACCTTGGGATCTCACACAGTTCTCCCAATCACCATCAGCTGCCCCTTTGCATTTTCCTGAATTTCATCAATG